ATGTAAAACTTATTGCAAAATATTATTGGGTAACTCATAAAATAGTATAAAAGTAGACAAAATATAGTTTTTTTCTTAAAAAGTAAAAACTATTATATTTAGTGAAATTAATCGTCATATTATAGTTTAATTGTCCACAATAAATGAAATAAAATGAAATTTAAGTGTTCATTACTTGGTAGACCGCCCCCCCCCCTTGGGCTTTTCGCCACCATATGTGGACCACCCCATGGGAGGGGTTGAACGTCATTCCCTCTGTTGATTTGAAATTCCCCCCCTCAGAACTAGGATATATCTGCTCCTGTGTATGACCTCTGCATACTTATGGAAATAGGTCATACCTATTTTAAAAGATATACTATTTTTATATGGTTAACCAGAAAATTGAGCGTTACGAGTAAACTAAATAAATATAAATTTTCCAAAAAGAAATGTCAGAAATTTAAATACCAACATCGATTATTATAATTTATAATGTTATGTTTATTATGTAAGTAAATTTATTTCGTAGGTACCTGTATTAAAGAATTCCTGAGATACATTATTTGTGTTCTCTTCCAGTTTTAATATATTTATAGACTTAGGTAAGCTTATTATTTGAGTAAACTGCAGAGCATAGGTGCAAATAGATACATTGTTGGGAGAACTTAAGCCCCCCCCCCCCCACACCATTATAAACTAAAACTATAATTGTTGTCGAATTACAAAAATAAAATATTATTTAAGTATACATTCAATTATTTCAATATCTATACTGTATATAGGTACCATAAAAACAAAATCTTAAATCATTTTTATTGGGTTTAATAATGTCAAACCTATTATAGACAAAAATTAAAAACGATATTTGCTTAGCACTTACTCGAAGAAGTCTATAATTTTTTTTTGGGGGGGGGATTGGTCTAGATTTGTGGTCTAAACTCCCTAGGCCCTAGCCCCCTATTTGCGCCGATGCTGCAGATCTATTTGATGTGATACAGGTAGTTTCAATTTGTTCCAGATGAAAGGTTTTGTAGTATCATTGCTGCTACTAAACACCGATCAGGTGACTACTAGGTAGTTCGGTAGGTACCCACCTGCTGGCACCAAATAGATATTTTAGTGTACCGCGCTATGCGTAATTTACCTATTTTATCATATTAACAATGTCCTTAGACCTTAGCAACATATTATTACACAACATCATCAAGTCGGTCATTGCTGATGGATAATATAATTATTGCACTCGTGTAATCATAATAATAATAGTAGCACGTGATAGGTACCGCCAAAGTGGCGGATTTGATTGCAGAATTCTACCAAGTCAGTCGTGAGACTTGCGGAGAAGGCGATGGGTGCACGGACACGCGTGAGCAGTAGGTATAACCTAGCAAAATGAAACTTATGGTAATTCTTTCCAAAACCAAAAAATGTTTAGCTCTGGGCCAAATACCGTCTATAGTCCGTCACCGATATTATGCAAGCACGTATAATATATAGGAGGTACATAATAATTAATAACGATAATAATACTTTAATAATAGGTATACGTCTTAATATAGTGCATTCCGCTATTATTAAATAAATTATAAGTCCATGAAGATCGAAAACCTGTCGAAAAATAACAACGGGCCAAAAATAATTATTATTCGAAGTGATTCCGAGTGTTCCGAGTTCTATAGGTTACCTAAATACGGTTATCGGGCTATTGACTATACCATACTATATACTTATACTAGATTAGTACTTATACAGTTATATTATTATACTTTCCGCAACCTGCAGTAGTCGGTATAGTCTGGCAGAATTATATTATATTTAATATTTATATGTACGATTATAACATGAAGTTGTACATTATCTACGTTTGCTGTTTGCGGTTCTTTTATAATTGTTTTGATAATTATATAGGTACCTACTACTAACATTTTTTATTTGGTACCTATAATAATAGTATAATACTATAATCATATGGTTGGGTATATTATTCATAATTAAGAAAAAAAATGTTCGCGGTACCCACTCATCTATTCGTTTGACCTACATACTTAACAGTACTTAATTATTATAGGGCCCGGATTAAAAATTCCCTAATAACTATCAAAAATCCTTTAAATAAATGCCAAAATTACATTTCAACAAAATTACATATTATAACATCAACAAAAGTTAAAATAAGAAAAGAAACCCTTCGTTCGAACACAGTTTTATTATTCTTGATTCTTCCCAGTTCCCCTTTTAAAATTCAATACCTACCTTCCTAATAAGTAAATTTGCCCTAATATTAATTATAAATAAACCGTAGTTACGACTTAACGAATGTTACACGTGTGTACGACATACAATAAATATTAAATATGTAAATAAGTATTAAAGACGTTTAATAAATAATAATTCTATAGAAAAATTTAGAAATTAATAATAATTTATCAACGGTAGTTCTTATCAGTGAACAGTCTTGTTTCTGTTGTAGTCCTATATGGCTGTATTCGTTCTAATTTCTAAACATACAATATAATAAACTGTTAACTATGGTAATGATTTATAATAAGTTCTATTTCTGGTAAGGTAGCACTGCTGGGAGCCTTCCTATTAATGTTATTTTATGTCTCATGTTCTTATGTCACCACACTTACTCATTATACCTTGTATGTTGTATAGATTGTAAATATACTTTGTTTAAATATAAATATTTTAGATTTTGAGTGGAACGATGAATGTATTGATTTCACAATGATGTGTGTGTTTTTTTTATTTTTATTTAATTTTATTTTTTCTAAAAATATCAATTTTATTTTATTTGTTGGTTAAAAAAGTTTGAAAATTTAATAGAAGGCTCCTAATATATTGTTACAATTACATTTGAAAAAAATTAAAAATCCTTTGTCACAGTTTTTTTTTATAATCATTTAAAGTTCAAAAATTGACAAAATATGGAAAAATAACGAGTATTAGCAAACTATTTTGAGTTAAGAAATCGTAAAAATTTTTCTTTTTAAATCTAAGATTTTAAAATGTAATACAAGATTCCTTGTAAGATTTATCTTTATCAAAAACAAAATGTCTATAAGATAGTTAAATTAAATTTTTATGAGCGTTTGAAATTCAAATTTTTACAACATTGGATATTCACTCGATTTCTTGTGTAGCGATTTCCTTATTTTGTTGTAATTTAAAAACTAATAACTGTATATACATGACAATTTCACTGAATGTTTATATTAGCAAATAGCATTTCCTATACACTATACAATTTTGAAAATATTTTGACTCTTCTTGAGCTGTTTACGGACATTTACAGTTTTAAATTTTTTTAGTTTTTTTTTTCTATAAATGTCAATAAAGTTTTATCAGTTGGGCCAAAAAGTGTAAAAATTTAATACAAGGCTCCTGATATATTGTTACAATATCATTTGAAAAATATTAAAAATACATAGGCACAATTTTTCTTATAAGTATTTAAAGATCGAATTTTGACAAGATGTATCAAATTTAAAATTGAATAATTATTTTGTTGTTAAAAATTTATAAAATGTTCAACTTTTATATCTAAGGATTGCAAATTTAAAACAAGAATCCATGTAAGTAGTTAATTCTGTTACCAAAAAATCTAAAAAATACACAAGCATAGTTTATTTTTATAGTCATTTTAGGTTCAAATTTGGACCAAATTACATATTAAAAAACCTAGAATAACTATTTCAGTTATTTTGTTGTGATTGTATAATATTATTCGTGGGTACTTGAAACTTCTAAAGTGTACCTACTATTATATATCTATGATAGTATCATGGTTTGTTATTGATGTAAAACGCGTTATAAGTACCTAATGGATATTGTGATATGATTAATTTGGAATTTATTATGGGCACCTATTATTTTATTATTATTATCATCAATACCTACCATCTACGCAATTGATAAAAAAAAATTCAGATAAAAACTAAATTGTGATAACGGTAAAAAACCAGTTTTAGTTCTTACACCATTACGGTGGCACCTGTTGAACTTAAAGAGTATAATGAATTACGAATTGAATAAAACAAAACAAAATAGGTAGGTACTTAATTAATATTATTGTCGATATTATCATATTATTAAATATTTTATCTAGTGTTGTATTTTAATCTTGGTGTATGTCTGGTTAATTAAAAAAAATAACTGCTTAAGCCCTCTAGGCTTCAAACAGTCAAGCCCAATTGGTGATATCTACCTTTGTGTAATTTATTACAAATTTACAACTTATGTACCTATTACCAGCTACCTATGTATATAACTTTTTGATATCTATTTTGAAAACTTTGAATCAATGCAATATGCAATGTCTTTTTATTTTAATGGCTTCAATGAAAATTGGACTACTAGTTTTAGGTACATTTTTTGGTAAATTTCCAGTATAGGTGCATATTTTGAGACTTGTATTTAACTTTAATTGCCTGAGGTATACATAGGTATTTAAATCTAAGCGTTTTAAAAGCATTGGCTGGTGGATCATTAATCAATCTTGGGAGTTGGATTATTAATTAATGATACCCATGTTCCATTTCCATTACTAAGTACTTGCAGCAGTATTCTTTGTATAGACAGGCAGACAGCTATAGGTGCAACGCACGTTATATTTACTAAAATCAAAAGAGTCACAATGAATAATGGTTTTGATTTATAAACAACATTGTGTCAATGATAAGAGCATAAACACTACTATAATAGAAAGAGCATATAGGATTAATGAAGTCAAATTACCCATGTTAACACTGTTGTAACAAACTTACATAATATAATAAATACTATAATCATTCACACATGAATGAAATGTATTATTATTATTATTTATTATTATTCAAATAAAAATTGAAAAGTTAAATGTGTTTTAATGTTTTATTTAAAATTTTAAAAATGAAAGAACTGTTTGAGAATAATAATAGTTTCACCCAATCTATACATCTTAAGACAAATTATATTATTATCTTATTTATTTATTTATTGTAATGGTAGGTACTTATTAAACTTATTTTTTTTAGCCCAGAAAAAAAATGACAGTAGTCCTTGAACAAGGTACTTTACAAGGACTCCACTACAAAACACGATTATCAAATAAATCGTATGTTAGTTTTCTAGGCATACCCTATGCTTTACCGCCAATTAAAGACTTACGATTCAAGGTGAGAATTTTTAATAGTATATAATTTCAACTATATATCAAATTTATGAATTGCATTTAACCAGAATGATTATATTCCAAAAATATTATGAAAAATATGTAATTAGGTACCTATTCTAAAATTAATAGGTAGTAATTTTATGTTCATTAAAATAAATTACAATGTTTTAAATTTAATTACACAAATGTAACATATTGTGTGAAGATAGCCCCCTACTAAGTTTATTTCGGTCACAACTTTGCTCCGAGTAACTTTCAAATTCCAAAAACCCACTTACATTTACTTACAAATTAAACTATACAACTTACAATTTATTCTAAGTAATTTAGTAAGAGTGGGGGGGGCTAGTGTGAAGTTCGCCCCTCAAGTTGATTTTGGTAATTTCAATACATAATTAATGACATACTTAATTTTGTTTTAGCCTCCTGTCAAACATCCAGGATGGACTGGAGTTTTTAAAGCGTTTTCATGTGGTAAAGTATGTATGCAGTATGATATTTACGTGACCAAAAAAATTGTTGGAAGTGAAGATTGTTTGTATTTAAACATATTTGTGCCACAGGTTGTAAAATAATTTTGCGCTATTACATGGATTATTGGGTAATAATTAATTTTTTTATTGTAATTTACCAGGAGGAAGTGGTTGAAAAAAAAGCTGTTATGGTATTCATACACGGAGGTGCATTTAATTATGGATCTGGATCGTTAGATTTTTACTCTCCTGATTATTTGCTCGATGAAAATGTGATTGTTGTAACAATCAACTATCGATTAAATGTCCTAGGTAATTACTAATTAGTTAGTTATATGTTTAGTACGTACCTAGTATTAATATTAATTAGTCAAGTGTTATAGTAACTTTCAATTTATATTAGTAGTTAACAAGTTCTGTTAAAAATTGAGTTTAAATTTTGTTCTTAGGATTTCTGAACTTTGGAATTGATGAATGTCCTGGTAATATGGGATTGAAAGATCAATTGTTCGCATTTAAATGGATAAAAGCCAACATATCAGCATTTGGAGGTGATACTAACAATATTACCATTTTTGGAGAAAGTGCAGGATCTGCTTCGGTTCATTGTCATTTACTTTCTCCTCAATCTACAGGTTAGTCTTAAATTAATTTACTGTACCGCTATGTGCGTATTTCAGTAAACAGTAATCTATAAACCAGGATACAATTCAAATAAATTTGCAGCTTTTAGGTGATATACTTATTACAGGGATTAAGTACATATTATTTTTAATTACCTTAGAAGTTTAATAGAAATTATTAGTGAAAATTATTTAAATCTAAATTAAAATGATATTTTGGTTTTTTTTCTGAATCCAATTAACTAAATCAAAACTAATGAAATGCCCATCAACTTTTACTATACAAATTAGTGTCTGTTTAAACACTGAGAACATCTTTAATAAAATAAATTGTGCCTTTTATGACTTGTTATTAAATATTTAAATCAAATGGCATATTTTTATGACATGATATATTATATGCGTCAATACTGTCATGGTGACTGGTGACATATTATGCTATCAAACATTTCTTTAACATTTTAGAATTTAAGTAGGTAATTGATTTCATTATTCTAGTATTACAACTCATTGAATTTAGAATGTAATACTAGTTGTATGAATTTGGATTCTGTGGTACCTAGATCAATCATAAAATATTTTGTATTATTATATTTTAATTTGTATTGTTTTAGTGAATAATGGTCATCAAATATATGATTTAGAAATTATATTTGAAACAAAAAATTAGTTAGTTATTATTAATTTAATATTGAATTGGATTTTTTTGTTTAAATCAATATTAAAATTAATATTTTTATTTGATATCTTACAATTGATCTTAATCTTTTTATTCAAAGATTCTGTTCAAAATTTAATTACATAAATACTTAAATAGGTACATTATAATGGTATTGAATTGAAATCACCATCTTAATAATTATAATTAGGTATTAATAATAGTTTTTTTTTTATTTTAGGATCATTTAACAAAGCTATAATGCAAAGTGGATGTGTTTTTAATCCATGGGCTTTTAATGAAAGACATTCAGAAGTAGCCTTTAAGTTGGCGGAGAAATTGGGATGTCAAAAAGACGATCCTAAAGAAATAGTAAAATATTTACTAAATATTCCAGCAATAGATTTAGTTAAATGTACAACATTGAAGATTAAATTTCAAGTATGTATGATAGTAAATAAATAACTTACTTCATGTGTATATAAAATTATGAATGCAAGACGTACATTAGCTAGTTTACTTTATTGGGTTTTTAATGTTTTTGTGCACCTCAATTCAAAAAATGTTTATTTACTTTTGTTTTCTTTCATAATTTATACAATATATCTTAAATGTATTATCATAAATAATAATATATCTCAGCACAGATATTATTCATAAAAATATAAATTTATCTAGATATTTTTGTTTTATGAATTTAAATTTTATAATTTTTTTTTTTTTTTGTTTAATTTTAAAAGGGCCAAAGAGATTTGCTAAATTTCCAGTTTGTTCCAACCATTGAAAGTGAAGCCGTTAGTGACAGATTTATACCTGCTCATCCAGATATTTTAATCAAATCGGCATCGGCAGTACCTTTAATTACTGGAACTAACAATATGGAAGGAATGATAGTGTTTGGAGGCAAATTACTTTTTAGTTGACTTACCAAATCAATGGCCATATTTTAACTAAACAAAGTTGATGAACACACGTAATTTCGTACACATTTTATATACAATTAGAATATTTAGTCACTAAATATTTTTATGTCATGTTGCATACGCAATCAATAAACGTTTAATGAATCAATATTGAGATAATGGTCCCTGAACATTATTTAGTGGCCTATGATTGATCTATTCATTTTTAGTGAACCATTAATAAAATTAGACAGTTAATTTTCAAGGAAAATATAAACTATACTGTTTTTTCAAATAAGTAAAAATTTGCTTAATAATCAAAATAGATTTATATTTATATATTTTTTTTAGAAAACAATTATAAATATTCTATATATATAATTTTTCATAAATTTTAATGAAAGTGCAAGGAGGGACAAAATATCAAAGAAAATAATTGCTATCACTATTGTTTTTTTGTTCTACATTTAAATGAATATTATAAATTTCTGTTTATATACTGATCAATGACGTTCTAAAGTTTATTTTTTATGGCCATTTAAACAAAAATGTGACCATTTATTGAACATAATTAATAATTAATATGTTTTTTATTTTCAGAACACAAATTAGGAAAATTATTTGACTATCACAAATTAGAAGAGATTAGAAAATTATTTGAAGCTGATTATTCTGAAGAAATCATTCAAAAAGTAAAGAAGTTTTATTTCAGCGAACACGAGCAATCAAGTGATATAACTCAATTGGAAAATACATGTCGTGTAAGTATGCTTTACATGTAAAAATATTTTCCATTGGAATACCATTTTTTTTTATGGATGAACCTATAAAAAGTTTGTGTAGTTTTATTAGATTCCATGTGGTATTTTGATGTATTACAAACTAATGAAATTAATTATACATTTTTCCAGTTGTTTAGCGATGTATTTTTTACCAAAGACTTTTATCGTGGATTTAATAGTTTAATCAAAAAAGATGGAGCTCCAATTTACAACTATGAGTTCAAATTTGATGGAGAACTCAATGCTTGCAAAAAACTCCTGTTCGCTACACGGCCAATATTTCATTCGTTAAAAGGTAAGGTCCTATTATTTATTTTTGATTTTTAATTGTGTAAATTAATTAACCTCTATTTAACTAAAATTAACATTAATAAAATAATAAAATTCATAGGTGCATGTCACGCAGACGAATTAAATTATTTATTTTACGGACAATTGTTTGGATTCTTGCCCAAAGCTAATACACCAGAATATAGAATGTGCAGAACAATGAGTAAGCTGTGGTGCAATTTTGCAAAAACTGGGTATGTTAAAAAATTAATGAAGTCTGTCATCAAATCTATGATTGATTACATTTTGGCAGTTTTTTTTATAAACGTTTGATTTTAGAAACCCAAATTCATCGGATTCAAATGTTGTGTGGAATAATACAAATGTGGACAGTCCCAAATATCTATCAATAGATGGCGATAATACGCGCATGGTAGATGGCCTAATAAATGTTTCCAGTGTACACTTTTGGGAGAATATATTTGAAATAATTCGATTGAAACAAAAACTGTGATTATTCATACTTAATTATAAACATGTAATTAAAGATAAATGTACTTACAATTACCTTACAAAACTGTTGTTCTTAAAATTAAAAACACATAGCATGTGTATTTTTATTTTAAATGTACTTATTATTCTATGACATAATTTTTATACTGTTGATGTTTTTTTTTGTATATATTATACATATATGTTTTATTTATAAATAAAATAATTTTTTAACGTATTTGTCTGACTTAGAATGTTTACTATGTATATTAATATCCACCGCTTCCACCACTTCCAGTTCCACTGTAATTGTATGATCCCCAAGTCTGATTGTAGTTTGTTGCTTGCGGGTAGCTCCAATTTTGATACTGATACGAATAATCTTGTCCAGTAGGAGCGTACTGTTGATAAGCTGCCTGGTTGTATCCAGTGGCGTATTGTTGGGGGTAATATCCGGTTGAATTGTACGGCTGATAATTTGTAGTTGCTGTCTGGGAATTCGAGGATGCTGCGATCTCTTGTGCCTGTTTAGCTTTCATTTCTTTTTCAATTCTAGATTTTTCTTCCTCGGCTGCAGCCGAAGCTTTTTTCTTCTCTTTGGCGAGCAACTCTGTGTAACTCTTGAACTCATTGGTGGCTTTACGCAATGATGTATAATCGCAAGTATAATCCTCAATAAATTCCAATTTGCGTTGAGAAAACAATATTTTTTGCTCTAAATTGACACTGCTCATTGATAATATTTCATCAAATATTTGGATAACTGATTTTTCATTTAATGGCTCCACACTCATTTTAAGCTCAATAAGTTGCAACAATAGCCTGGCATTGTCTTGCATATTGTCTTTATCTTTATTTATTATTTCTGCGATCAACTCGATGGCCTTGTCGATTTTACTTGCACACTTCCAAAGGAAACGTGCGTATTTTATAGCAATATTAGAGGTAAGGAACTTTGTATGAGAAGTATTTATATAATGTTCATACAATTCACATACTCTATCTAATTGGTCTCTACGTTTCTCCAAATTAATGCGCCTGTAAATAATTTGCAACATATGCGGAACGGCGTCGTCAAGGTTCTTTAGAATTTCAGCTGCTTTGTCCAAGTTACCTTTGCTTTCTTCAAAAGCTGACCATTTCAAATGTAATTCTGGTGACTTTCGATGGTGAACCAAACAGGCACGTAAAAATAAACTTTTTAATAAATCGCTTACGTCAAAATCTAATGATTCTAAATAGTCCAAATAACTCAACCAAAAATCTTCATATAAAGCACACGGTATTAGACATCTTTCATACAGAACAACAATGCGTTGATGGTCACCAGCTTCCTTCTCCAATGCGATATAATTTTTCCAATTGTCTATTTGACATTTTTCTAAAGGTTTTACATGGAAATAGGGTCTCTTGATACCTTCTTCGAATGTTTGACGCTTAGCTATTTCTTTACCAGTTTCCTTATTAATATTTTGTTTTGATTCAATAATATTTTCTTTTAATAATGCCAATTCTTTTTCTGACACATCAGATAAAAAAGTATTTTCTTCTTCTCCTGGAGGTGCAGAATCGTCGGTCAACATTTCTTCATTTCCGTTCAGCCTCATTCTTTCAGCTACTTGCTGTCTTAATTCAAGATATTCCTTAGCATTTAAAATCTTATCAGGTGAGTTCTTGTTCACAAACTCTTTAAAATTTTCAAAATGTTGCAAATAGCCCAATGTCTGTGTAGCAAGAAGACGACTGTATATGTTAAAAGCATTGACTAACTTATTCTGTTCGATTTCCCATTTAATGTAATGATCCCATAACCGATCTGAACGATACTCAAGTCCGCACGTTTCTAAGCCTTTCTCAAACTTGCTACGGATACGATCCACATCATCGGAATGCTGCGTTTTTAGGTATGTCATGTAATGAATCCATAAGTCAACACTCAGTGGTATGGCACTCAAACCACGTTGAAAGACTTCTTCACACTCCTCTTTATTGTTGCTTCTTTTCTCAAAATCAGCAAATTTCCTCCAATAACCGTAACAGTATGGATACAGTTCCAAAAATTTATTATAAGCTTCTCTTGCGTTTTCAACATTATTCTCTTGATCAACATATTGTAACAGATATGTCCATCCAGCGAAGTCTGATGGGTCGTCTTTAACAGCTTGCCAAAACTTATCTAGTTCAGTAATTGGTTTGACTTCCTCAGTTTTAACTTTTTTCACAGGCTGTGATTCATTATCACCTTCTTTCTCTTCGGGAACTTGACATCTTTTTGTTTTGGCTGTGCCGTTTTCACTAGGCAGCTCTTCATCAGATACTATTTCGGTTTGGTCAGCTAAAGTGGTTGGTGGCAATTCATCTTCAGATACAGCTTCAGTGTCAACGGGCATATTGTCAACTGGCATTTCATCTTCTGATATCACTTCTGTTTCAGGTTGTTTGGGCTCATCTTTTAGAGTTATAATTGTTTGTGCATCTTTAATATCATCATTATTATCTCCAACTTTAACAATTTCATTAGTTTCTTCCGATATTTCGTCTTTATCGCAAATATCATCAGTAATATCAATAATTTCAGTCTTGGGTAAGATAATCTGACAATCATCTGAGTCTTTGTTATCAAACTCATCACTTGGCTTTTGTAATTTATTACTAATCATTTTTATAGACATTGTCGGAGGAGCAGTTATCATAACCTTTGGTGGTTCAGTATCGTCTAATTCTGGAACACTATCATTCATTTTACCGTTTTCTTTAGACTTTTCATTTTTTAACACTGTTTCATCCTGGTCAGCCATGATTCAAAATATTCTGAAAATACATAAAAAAAATTAAGTTATTTTGTATTGTTTAATAGTACACAATATAGGTACTCATCATGTAGGTAAAATTAATTATTATCTTTAATCATATCATTACACTTTCACTAATAAGTATCTCAATTTCAAAATGAGATTACTGAATTATTCACTTATTTTAAATGTACCCAATAGATACCTAATACATTAGAACCTCGGTATCTCAGAGTTTCTGTTTATTGAAATTTTTTTTCCGTACCGATCATTCATTTACATATTTTAAATTGATTCAGTAACTCAACATTTTGATAGGTATATCTATTTTTTTTTTTTTATTCCTTGAGATTTCGAAATTCCGAGGTTCCACTGGCCACTGTAGCTAAAATGTAAAATGAAAGACAGTGATAATATTCTCAATTTCAGGACCACTAATCAATCGAGTTGATCAACTCTAGAGCTTGTGCTGGTGTTAAGAAAGCAAGTAATACATAGGTAGGTAATTAAGATAATAAGATCACAAATATCCAGGTACATGCATGCATATTATCTAAATCACCTTGGATAAACTTTACTACAAACATTAGGTATACAAAATGTTTACTGCTCGATGCAATGGCAATTCTGTTGTACAGTTTGTTTGTACTCCACATCGTTCGATATGAAAGTAATATTAATATATTATTATAATTAAGTAGTTACCTCGAATTTTGGTTTTGGAGAATAAATCTAATACGTTCTCATTATAAACGCGAGCGCCGAGCAGCCACCGAACCGATGCGATAAGAGATTGTGTGCTCGACACAAGCCGGAAAGACTGTACACGAAATAAGAAAATATTTAAATATAAAAATATATTAAACCGTAGTACTAACTATACCGAGTACAGACATACAACAACACAACCGAGTACGGTCTGCGGAGGACGCTGAGAACAATATTTTTTGTGAATTGTGATTTGTGAACTACGGTATCGTCATGGGTATTGTAACTTGTAAGCTATATAGCTGTGGGCCGTTATCAGCCTGCAGTTGTCAGTAAATAATAAATATTATGTTTTAATCAATTATTATAATTGTTGTTGTTGTGACGTTTTGTCGTTTCGGACATAGCGAACCACGACGACGGTACCAACATTTTAAATACATAATACATTTGAAATTTCGTGCATAGACGTGAATTACACTACAGGGGGTCAATTCTCGAACGGCGCTATCTACTAGTCGTATACGACATTAAGGAATTGTCGAGCGAGATTTTAAATAGTCTATTCTTGAATTTCGCACGACTTAAAGGCGCATGAAAAGTTATGCGACTTTAAAAAGTGTGGGTCTAACCACTCGCCAAGAGTTGTCGTATACGATGTCGTGCATCGATTGTATTTTTAATTATGATAACGGCTAATCCGATATTGTACGACGTACGTAATGGTTATAAATTATAATACCTACTAGCTCTAAGTATAACTCGGGGCCCGTTGGAATCGCTGAGAGTGGGTACCGATTTTGGAGACAATGAATTATAAAAGTCGCAAAGGTTGTAAGACGAAAATTTAGGATTTGTGATAAGGATTAGTGATATGGATTGGAGATAAGGCTAGACGCTTTGGCGGGAATGTTAAAAGTTTGAGTGTCTAGCAATCCGCCACAAACGTTGTAAATGGATAGGCTGGATACGATCTCCAGGATCACCTATATAGAGTATACCTGCACATAGAGTGGTATGTGCCGTAGCATGACTGGTGCTTTATCTTATGTAAAAAGTGTAAAGTCGAAAACCGTGTTGGAGTTTCTAGCAAGTCAGTCATCTCAAGTCAAAATCTATTAACTTTCAAGTTAGCCACTTAGGTAGGCAATCCGACTTCGTCGGATCGCGGACTATGTGCTACAGCAAATCAGGTAGGCAATCCACCTGCGGTGGATTGTAGACCCGACATCAAGCGTGAAGCGGCTATAAGTGAAAACCCTATCACACAACTTACGAAATAATTTACGAAAAATTCAAACTATATACATACAAACAAATATGATATGTATTTATTGTGTGATATAATATAACAATGAACATTTTGAGAAATGTGCAATTATAATTCCTAAAAAATATTAACATATTGGTAGATAGTTAGATACATACTATTATATTAACCAATACATATAAACATGTACCTATAGGCTATAGTGTATATATATTAATTTAAAAAAAAATTGCAAAAACCTGCATGTTATATTTTGTTAAAGTGTCTATCAAGTCAATCATCACCGTTTAAGACGAAACTAAAATGAGCAACCCGTCTATCACCTATATATAGTAGGTATATCACATAGAGTGGTATGTGCCTTCGCATGTCCGGTGCCTTTTCTTATGTAAAAAGTGTAAAGTCAAAAACCGTGTTGGAGTGTCTAGCAAGTCAGTCATCTCAACTCTCAAGTCAAAATCAAGATTAACTTTCAAGTTAGCCACCTAGGTAGGCAAACCGAAATAAAATACAAACTATATTTATATAACAATCATGGACATTTTAAAAAATATGCAATTTTAATAATTCCTAATAAAACAAATATAATATGTACCTATTTATTGTGTGATATAAAATGATAATGACTTTAAATAATAATAATGTACGATATGTTCCTGTATTATTATATTATTATTTAATTTATATGAAAAATAACGTGAAAAAAAAATGCAAAAAAAGTCGGGATTCAGGCGGCCGTGTAAACCATATGCCATTAACAGTATCAATGCCCAGACGGCGTACGACGGATTTGAACCCGGGACCTACGTGTTTCCTACCTAACGCCTAACCTACTCGGACACAGTTTGAGATATGAAAGACAGTGAAAACATCAACAATTAAGCCGTGCGTCTACGGAGCGACGTAAACCGATATATTCGATGTACATCGATGTAATCGCATATAATTCGCTTGTAATACGCGCATCTCCCATATATATATTTAACGGGGCGTGTGAAAAGCGTTTTCCGTTAATAATTATTACATCATAGGGAAAAATTAAATTATACACTTATGTATATGTATATATCCGCGTACGGTAGGTCGGTCGCCGGCGTAATTTCTAAACGCGATTGCGAGGCGAACGAACCGATTTCGGGGGAAAAGCCCATATAAACGGCTTTAAAAAGACGTGGACTACACGATTCGGGCACAAACGGCGTGCGAATAGACGAAACGGTGGGAGAAAAGGAAAAAATCGGCAAAAAAGTCCGGTCGGGAGTGTATTTTTCGATCGACATTGCGACCGCTTCGAACGGCGCACGAATATAAACCGCACACCGGCGGCTTCGAATTAAGTATACAAAAGGACGGAAAGGGTCGAAATCGTGTAAAAACAGCTAATTTTCCGAAAATTTCAAAAATCGGCGAAATGATAGGAAAAGAGGTGATAACGAAAAACGTTTTAAAACCGACCGCCGCCACTGCGAAGGTACGCGATTGGTCGCGCTATAAGGAATCGACGGGACACGGCCGGCGGGCTGGGGAAACGGAGCAGTGCTTCATTTTTTACGCCATGGGTTCGCTATAGCCGGCGTTTTCCTTTCCATTGGTACACTATAGACAGCTGATTTCCTTGTCATTTTATATATTAGGATTACCTAACTCAATTTTACTAAATCGAACTATTCATTTTTTATTAAAATTAATTACATATTTTACTTTATTAACTATGGCGAATGACGACGAAATGGCTTATTTATTCGCAATCCAAAATCAGCAAAATCAAATTAATTTTCAACCTAGACCAAGAACTGTTAATAATAATATCATTAACTCATTTGAACTTACAGATTCGGCATTTATTAAAAACTATAGACTTACAAAAAATTTAGCTAATACATTAATTCAAGAACTTAGTCCTTTTCTTAAGTCACCGAAAAGATCTTCAGATTTAGATGTATCAACAAAGGCAAGTTCGAGTTGTTAACAATTTAGGAACGGTACCTAGTAGTTTAGTGTAATATTAGATTAGGTATTAAGGTAGATTACTTATTAGGTAAATAATTATATTAAAGCAATTATTAAGAGGAAGAAGAATCGAGTTTTGTTCATTTTTAGTTTAATAGTTAACTATCTATTACCAAAATTAAAAAGTTTTAAATCTCTTGGTTTAAAATCTTGGCACTTATTTGCAATGGCACTATAGCACTAAATAATAGAGAGGGCTATTCTTGTCTATACCACTTCAATATTACCTATACCAAAGATGAAATATCTTTTTGGTAGGGATATGAGTAAGTTTGGTCTTCCTATAGTTTCACTTATGATTCTTTGTCGGGCAGTATTTTATATTGGGCTCAAAAAGACAATAAAATATGTGCTGGAATCCTCTTAATAATACTATTGAAAATTCATATTTCATAAATTAGTAGTTATATATTTTTTTCAGGTTTTAGTTGCCTTAAACTTTTTTGCCACTGGTAGCTACCAGACTCCAGTTGGTAATAGTAGATTTACCTCAGTTTCCCAAAGTTCTGTGTCTCGTTGCATTGAAGAAGTCACATCTGCATTAAATACTGATAATGTATTTGGGAAATGGGTAAAATTTCCTAGTAGTTTAAGAGAACTTAGAAAAGTTCGAAATGAGTAAGCTCTTTTATAAATTACATTTAAATAATCTTAATCATTTGATACAATTGTTTCTTCATAGCCAAAACAATGAAGCACATAGAATAGGGTTCAGTTATAAAATTAATTTCCTATTTTTATATTTTAAATTGGTCCATAAGTTTCTCATCTCATAATTTCTAAAAAATAGTAATATTTGTTTTTAAAAGCCATATGAGATATAATATAGAAAAATCAATTAATTTTGAACACCTCATTCTATGAAATTTGTATTGAGAATAATATGATTAATTTGTACAAGACCAAGTAGATATATTTATATACATTTCAGATTTTATGAGAATACAGGTATTCAGGGTTGTATTGGATGTATTGATTGTACTCATGTAGCGATTGTGCCACCAATTAAAGATCCTTTAAATGCTCATTCTGAATATATTTATGTTAACCGAAAAGGATACCACTCTATTAATGTGCAATTGGTTAAGTATACATTTAGAAAGTGAATAATTGTGTGTGATAATAATAAAGTGAATGTTTTTCCAAAGATATGTGATTCTAAACTTAGAATTTTGAATGTAAATGCTCTTTTCCCTGGATCAACGAATGATTCGTATATATGGAATAACTGTGATGTACTCCCAATATTGGAACAAATTTATCGGAATGGCCAACAAGGATATTTTTTATTAGGTATGTTTCGTTCAACTGCTTATTACTTAGTTTTGATTAGGATTCAGGTGTATCTTTTATTTGCTGAATATTGTGGTTTGAATTTAAAACTAAATATAAAAACATGTTGACGGAAATGACTGTCTTAAGCCGGACAGACACCAATGCAACATGCACCACTTTTTGCAATGTTTTGGAATGCGCTGGAACTTACAATAAAATTTATAATCAATGATACTAATCTGTAACAACTTTCATTCATTCATATAGCAATAATATAAATCATCCTGTTAAAACAATTGTTAATCTAAGGTGATTCTGGATATGCATTAAGACCATGGTTGCTAACACCTATTAATGACCCAGTAACTGATGTTGAGCAGTATTACAACAAAATACAAATGACAACGCGAAGTGCTGTAGAGAGATGTAATGGTGTTCTAAAAATGAGATTTAGGTAAGCCTTAAAATAGATAAAATATTTAAACGCAGCAACAAATAGTAATATTACTCTTAATGCTATTACATAATATATTTAGGTGCCTTTTAAAACATAGATTTCTCCATTACCACCCTGAAAAATGCACGAAAATTATAAACGCATGCACAGTACTACACAATATGTGTATAATACATAATGTTGAACTGCCGGTAGAAGAAGGCCCAACAAATATAGAAATGGGTATAATTCAACATTCAAATCACCCAAATAATGGTCAGCATTTTGGAGGAAATGATTTGTTGCTAGGTAGACAAACAAGATCAGTGGTTGCAAATTATTTGTATAGAAATAGACGACATTAGATACCTAAAAGCATATTTTAAAGTTGTATGCTAATTTTATGTTTAAATAATACAAATAGATTTAAATAAACAAGTAAATTGTTAATTTCAATACTTACTCTATATAATATGTAAACTACTTAATTAATAATACTTTATAAAAAAATGTTGAGTCATTGAAAACATTTAAAATTTATTACTCTTTAAGATTTTGAAATTATAAACTAATATTATACCTACATGTAAATGAATGTTTTAAAATGAATGTTTTTAATGTATAATAATTTTAAGAAATATTACTTTTATATAAAACATGTTTCTTTTAAATGAAAAATAAAAATAAATAGTAGTAGGTAAATGAGCGCAAGTATGTCTTATAAGAATTTATTAAATGAATATTAATGTTATTAAAAAAAAAAAATTAAATATTTTTATTGACGAGTGCTTCTGCTATGCAGCTTAAAATGTCATTTTTTTTTTGCATTAATTCCAATTTATCTTTATAGTATTGAGCTTTCATAGCCAATTTTTTTTCCCCCAGAACAGCCAGTCGTGTTGCAGCATCATTGCTCTCATCAAGTCTTTTTTCTGTTGATGCCCTTTTTAATTTTGAAGTTGTAGTTTCTATAGTAAAAAACATATTCATTTCTACTAAATCATAATATAAGATAATAAAATATTTTATATAAGATATAGTATTTTAGAAATTACATAATTAATATTACTCAAGATATATGATATTGAGTTGAATCAGTGGCGCAACCAGGGGGGGGTCGTCCCCGGGTCCAGCCACCCACCTTGAGCCATACTTATAATGGGCGATAAAAGATAAACTTTTTTTATTTATTTAATTTAGAATAATAAAATAAGTATGGACCCCCGCCCCCCTGCTTAAAAAAATTCTGGTTGCGCTACTGAGTTGAATAAAACAGTTGACTTATGCTGGGTTGCATAAACAATTTATTAAATTTAATGGTTCACTAAAAATTTAATGGACCAATCACGGGCCACTAAATCTTGTTTAAGGGACCATTAGCTCACTATTGATTCATTAAATGTTTTGTGCAATCCAGCATTAGTAGTATTATTATGTATAAAGCAATACTTATGGTGAAATATTTGAAATGTAAGAAAAGAAACGGTTAAAGGAAATTTAAGGAAAATTGAACGGTTAAGCTAACAACAGCTCTTATAGGAAAATTTAATTTGAACATACTTTTGATTGGATCATTAATGGAACTGATGTTAGGATTTGGAAGAGGAGATGAAGAGGTACCAAATGGAATGGAATTTTCTTCCTGTAGCAAGACATCACTCAGATCAACTGTGACAATATTGTCATCAAGTGGTTGTGTCCCTAAATCACAGTTATCGTCAAACACAAAATAGGCTTTAGAAGCGTTGCTTGATGTGTGACCAGAAATGCTAGTTGGGTTGATCAGGTCCAACGTATCATTTTCAATCAAAGAAAGGCTAGAGCAAGGAGTGTTTAAACCAGTTTTCCTCATATCTGCACGAATCATTGAATGTTTTGATTTTGCCTTAGTACGGTTGTCTTGGAATGTCTGAAATACAATACAAAAGATTGTTGTAAACACCAACTACATTTTAAAGTAAGCACTCACTTTACGCCATTTGTTCCAACTTTTAACAGCCCCGGGCATGGCATTTAATGATTCGGCAATAATTTCCCATCGTTTTTGAGCAATCTTAAAGGTGAACGTACTACTAAACTTACCACTTAGTAGTTGTGGATCGACCTTTAAGAAGCCGTTCAAAGCAATCATTTGGTCGGTGGTTGCTCGGCCTGAAATTTCAGTGGAGTCTTTCGACATTGCGTAAAGATAATGATATACAAATAATAAAAAAATAAAAAATATTCAATATTTCAAACTCTGAGTTCTAACTTCTAACAATATTATAAAATATGAACATAAAGTAAACGAGTAACGACATAACAGTATACAAGCCTATAGAATATTATAGAGTACTGAGTAAAACACTAAAACCATTAAACCTTATCACACTATCAACTATCAAGTTTTGAGTTCTTATCTTGAAAATAACTACAGATAATTCATATACCACAATCGTGGTTTATACGACTTGACGTCACCACTCTACAAAATGTAGCGTTCGACAATGTATTTGGCGTTTGGTGTTCAAGAATAAGTAGCAATAGATGTGATTCGGCGTATACGCCAATATCATTCTACTATTGTCGTATACTACAACTTGATCGACGTATTATGTCGAATGATTTCGAGAATTGACCCCCAGAACTAAGTCGTAGTCGTAGACAGTTTTTGTAGAGTTACAAGTTGCAATTTAGGCAAATTTCAATTAAAATCAAAAATCCTTGGGTACATACTACTTAATATTATTATTTTCAAATATACAAGAATATTCAATGTTATTGTTCGTTTTTGGGTGGTGTTTGCAGATTTGAAAATACATAATAAATAATAATTATTAAATATGAACAATTTTCGTTTAATAATTATTGTATAATTTTGAGTGTAAAAATAGTTTATAAATAGGTGTTTTAAAAACTACTTGACTGATTTTTACAAAAATCTCGGATATTGTTCTTAGAGATGTCAGAAAAGTTTAGAAGTAGTTACTATAAGCCTAACCTAACCTAAATTTGTTTATAGTTTAGAACCAAGTTAAAAAGTATAGGTACTTACGTAGTTACGTACTAAAACCAATCCGTGACAGGTTGCTCATCGAAGTCGAATTATTTCACAAAGTGAAGTAGCCATGCAAGTAGGATTAGCTATTAATAATTAGCTGATTTCCCGTGAACTTAGGTAGTGAGGTATATAGGTATACACTATAAAGTATAACCACAGACTATAAAATCGTCGTATTTATGGCCTCGAATGAAGAAATTATATCTTAAAACAAAATAAATACGAAAGTTTATATTAAAAGTATGGGGTTGCATTTTACGTACAACGAAAAGAACGGCTAATTCTATTTGGCAAATATTTGTTTAAATGTTGTAATATTCTGATATGAATGACGATTTTACGAAAAGAAAAATTTTAAAAGTTGCTCTGAAAATTCGGGAAAACTGAAACGTCTTTATTCGATGGGATTTTTGTATATAAATATCGTTGCCATTGCTCATTAATTGGTTGGATATTAAATAATTATGTAGTAAATAGTAATAGTTTAAAATTAGATTAATTTTTAATTGCATTTATATATAATAATTTTACAAATATTTTGAATGTTTGATTAAATGAACATTTTTAAAAAAATGTATTAATTTAAATATAGATAAAGATCTCATTATTATATTTTACTAATTTGTTTAAGGAATTAAGAATATCTGGTTTGCATTCAGTTTACAATCTGACATATCACATACCACACTCGATTTTCTGTTTGTTTTTCTAACTTTCCGAAATGTACCTCCAACATAATTTTCGTCAAAATACTGTAGAAGACTTTTTTTTCTTAATGTCCAAAAACCAAGGAAACTTAACATTTTGTAAAAAATACTTAAATATTTAAGTTATAAAAGCACTCCCCAAGCAACCTCCCTAACTGGCGCAGCTACCTTAATACATATTATTCAGTAATATTGTTCTATGGTAATATTCAGCGGGTTAATTATTTATTTACTCAATGGTCTCAATGGTAGAACTGAAAGAATTGTTCTGTGGTAGAACCATAGAATATTGTAGAACCACGGGACATATGGTCCAGCATAATATTTATAAGTTCAAAACTGTTATCACGGTACCTTTAGCTGTTATCTCACATATTTGTTTTGTTTTTCGTTGTGTTCTAGAACTTTCCAATAATCCATGTTCAATCGCTGTAGTGTTGTTCGTTCTTGTTTGTTACTTTAATTTAAGTCAATAAATGTAAATATATTATTACGACTAAGTACCTACTAAGGCTGTGATTTTAGTTTTTACTTTTCTGATCATCGCATTAATAATCAGTAGCGGCCGAAGAAAAAGCTGTTTCCTTTGCAGTATTTGATTAACCTACGTACTTAATATTGTAAGAATTCAATTATTACCTATTAGTATATTTACCTGTATGTCTTACATGTATATAATACGAAGACTGACTTAAAAACCCCAATTTTATGGTTATAAATAGGTAGTTCAAAAGACACTTGTAATAAATGGGTATTTAGTATTATTATTAACTAAAATAAAAAAATTCAATCCTCCACCAATACATATACAGTTAACTTATATTCAGTGTACCTATTGCATTAATCATACAAAGAAATTTAAAGAAATTTTCAACAAAAAAGTATACTTCAAGTATTTTACTTTATAGTTTATATCGTAGAAATAAATAAGTTTTTTTTTTACACGAGTATATATTTTTCTCCATCTTACACACATACCTATTATAATATAGTTTAAACTTCTGTTTATAATTATAAGTAACAAGAAAATTAAATTATTAAATTAATTAAATAAGTATTGAAAACTTTCATAATAACCATTATAATACTTAATTCTTATGAAGATAGCATAATAACTTGAATAATGTACCTAATCACAATGATTAATGAGTGAAATACAGAAAGAGGTTTTTACTATATTTAGATTTGTATGACTGAACATTTTTGTTACTGATCTCCTCGCTGATCTCCCACTATAACAAATCTGATTTGTGATTCACGATAGGTATATTAATTGTATTTTGGTTTTTTCCCTAAACGAAAAAATATCATGCTATCATTAATAAATTTATATATATCAGCTTCATGTTTCCAACTGATATTTTAATACCTATATAAATATCTCAAATTGATTTTATTGGAATAGATTTGCAATCATTTTAATTAAAGCTTATAGTTTTTTTCAAGTGGGTCCTCTGACTATAATTTAGTGATATCGTTGATTATAGAATAGAATAGTCTATTCTATAATCAATGGTGGTATTTTGTTATTTTATCAAATAATTTTGTCGAGTAAAAAAATAATTATTGTTAATTACCTATTTATTTTGATTTTAGTATTTACGATGGCTTCTTGTGTGGGTGAAGAAAATAAAGTAGTCATCAAAAAAGATTGGTACCAATCAGAGTCTCAAGTGATTGTTAGCATTTTGGGTAAACATACATCAAAAGAAGACTGTTGCGTAAAATTTGACAAAGACCAAGTAACTATTCAAGCAAAATTCGCCACTGGTCAACCCTATACTGTTAATTTAAAACTGAGCAAACATATTGCACCCAACTTTAGTACCTATAGAGTTCTCTCGTCAAAATTGGAGATACGCCTTGCAAAGGTTGAAGAGGGAATGTGGGACGTACTAGAGAAAACCGTAGTGAAAACAACCAAGCCCTCCTCCACTATCCAGCCCCGCAATTGGGATAAGGTTGTCAAAGATATGACAAAAGAAGAAGATGATAACGATGTTAACACTCTGTTCAAGAAAATATATTCGGACGGTTCGGACGAAGTGCGCAAGGCTATGAACAAATCATTTATGGAATCTGGGGGCACCGTTCTAAGTACAAACTGGAGAGATGTCGGCAAGGATAAAGTAGATATTAAACCTCCAGAAGGGATGGAGTGGAAGAAATGGGACGAATGAACAAAACTGTACATACTATTACATTAATTAAGTGTTTGACTTTCTCTGAATATTATATAATAAAAAAATGATTTTTTTAACTATACATACCTATTTTCAAATCTTTGTTGTATTATACACACATTATAATATTGCGTTTTCATGTGATTATGTGAACAAATCGTGTTTTAATTTATTCATTTTTTAAATTGATCTTATTAGTCTTTATAGTCCTTTTTTTCTTAAACAAATTATTTGGAATTAAACATAAATGAGAATTCAAGTTATTTGTTGCTTATTGTATGCTAGTATGATCCTATACAATTAAATAACTTATTGAAAAATTCTGACCATTCCTAATAAAGTTGACGCTAAATTTGTATGAACACTAACGTCTAACATAGTTCAACTATCAGATAAAGTGAGTATTACTGTGGAAATATTATGTGCAGTAATTCAGTCATTAAAAAAACTTAAAACTTGACCTAAAAATGTTAAAATCCATACGAGTACCCAGGTTAATGATACTTTTTTGTATTAGATTTAATAAATCATATTTATACATTATAATATATTAATATAATAAAATAAAATCAATGATAAAATAATATTTTTTATGAAAAAGTTTATTTATATTTCTTGGTTTTAAAATGTATTTCAACAATGATCATATATTTTTGGGAAGAACCACTGACCAACATAATATTTTAATCTTATTCAATTTATATTATTTTCTAATACTTCACACTTTTTAGACAAATTACAACAATGTATAGTTTAAAAGGTTGAATAAATGAGAATCAAGAAATTTTTGAAGAATGTGAGTTGAAAAACACTAAAAATATATAGACATATTATGATTAATAACATCTTTAATGATCAAAAATTTAAAAAAAATGTGGGTACTAACGAGAACGTATCTGATGAAAGATCCTTGGGTTCTATCCCAATAAATAAAATAATAATTAAAGTACACTTTTAAGTTCATTCACTTAAAAAGTATTAAAGACCAATATGACATAAATAACATATAGTACAAAATTAATATTAAAGTAGAATAATTTTTAATGTAACCTACCTACTGCTAAACCCTATATTGTTTCAATTTTAAATTTCACATACAGCTGAAATCTTTTAATTTAAATTGTAGGTATATATTCTGTTTTCAATAACATAACCCAACTATAGATTCATAGAGTTTAATCTGTTTGATTTAAGTAACATAGTCGAGTCAGGCAATACCAATTTGTCATCCCCCCCCCCCCCCCCACCAGTCAACTATCTGCAGTACCAGATCTACAAATTATGTAACCCAGGGCACAACATATTATTAGAGCCCCTATGCTTTAAGATTTTAAAATTTAAAATTTGTGCCCTTCTATGATTAGCGCCCCCTTCCCCTAGATCCAGTACTATCTGTATAATTGCCATTCCCCTGCGGCCCTGCACGAAAGTATCACAAATACAATTCAATCAAACTATGTTTCTTAACTTGAACAGAAAATACAAAGGTTACCTCTTGATTAATTACTTTTCAGAACATGAAAATGCTAGGTATTTTTGGCTGGTATTATCATAAAAACATCTTCTTGATTCACAGTAAAATGTCTAAGTGGTAACTTGTAAGTCTGTAAGATTGAGGCTACACATGTTGGTATAATAGTATGGTGTCTTCATAATATTGAATTATATAAAAAGAATAGTTAAAAAAAACCAAAAACCTGCTTAAGTCCATCTTAAGCTGGGTCTACCTCTATACAGAGAATTAAAACAAGTGTTTGTGTCTTGTTTACTACTTTGCTATGAGTGAACCTGGCATTACCAACAAAGAACATACCAAATTTGCATTCAGAAAAACCTATCATTAATATAATAATACTAAAATATTGACTTACAATGAAATTTAAATGTAAAGATATTATCTAAGGCATCTATTGTTATTAATACGTTCGTACGCTGCCCATGATTTCAAAAACGAAGGAAGTAACAAAAAATAAAACCACCCATACCTTTAAATTTAGAGTTTATTGTCATTGGCCTTTTAAATTTCAATTTATTAAAAGAAAACTGATTTAATTATAACGTATATAAAAGTAAACGTTTTTGACGCATTAACGCGTCACCGGCCTATTGGAATAAACTTTGTTGAAGCTTATAAGCGCCAGCAGCTTTGAAAGTGTTAAATGTTTATACAAGTTATAAGCATTTTAAAATTGTTATACTTGACATAGATAGTTATTGTTCACTTTAAAGTCAAACATAAATTAACTCCTACGAGGTTCATTATAATTTATAAGATAATACTATTACTTTAAAGTTTGAAAATAATTTAATTCTATTTAATATTAAAATTAACAACATAAAATTTGTTCTATTTGCAAATTTGGTATATTGTAAGTGAGTAAATCTAAAAAACACTTGTGGATTTGGCATTACCTTAATTATACAGCTATCGCCCCAGTTCAAATGTATTGATTATCTTTTGTAATATTTAAACAGTATATTAAAAATGTGAATATTTTGTTCAACATTTACATAATTATTATTAATTAATACATATATGTAAATGTTATAGATAAAAATGTTATTATACAATAATATATATATATGCATTTAATATAAAAAAATAATTATAACACAGCGAATCTTTCATTTAACAAAATAATTAAATACAAATTTGTTTTTTAAGATTTTTTTTTTTTGCCCATGAGGACTTCATACTACAGAAGTTTCAGTGTATAAAATTTTATAATATTTGATAGAGGCCAATACTCTCAATAAATCTAATAAAAACTTATTAGGAAAATTTACTTTTTTTTAAGTTAAATTATTATAATTAATGTAGAAATAATAAGTTCTAGGCGTACAAGCTAAACCCCAGGCTAAGATGATATCATTTTTACAATTTGTGAAGACTATTAACAAATTATTATTTTATTAGGTAATAATCAATGATGTGATGTTCCAACCAAGTTAAGAAAACCAAGTCAGTTAAATTAAATTTAAAAAAACAATTGATCTTAGAAACTAGAGTTATGTGGTTGACAGTTTTAGATTTATATAAATACCAAGTAAGTAACTAAGAAAATAACAAACTAATTATTGTTTTACCTAGTTGCAACTATTCATGAAAAGAAAACTAAAAGCAAGTAGAAATAAATTGAACAGAACGATTATTTCAACTTTGAAATTAATGTGGTCTTTATTTAAAAAATTAAAAATCGAATTACACATTAGTACAAACGTTGTGGGGCTCCCATCGTTGACTTGATGTGCAGAGACTTAACATTTTGCCAATGTTTCTTCAACAACGAAACTAAGAAATTGATTGAAAGATGAATGTTGTGGGCCAATTCATCAGATTTCATGTCAACATGACCAACAGCAACACACAGACACAATACCTAAAAATCAATGTTACACAATTAATCAACAAAATCAGCAGAGAAAAAATGTGTAAGCAAATAGGAATTAAATACTTTTTTCATTTGGAATTTAATAGTGGCTTTAACTTCATCGATTTTCATGTTCATCGATTCTTGATGGGACAAAAGACCAGGAAACTTGCCCGCCTTGTTTAAACCGGGTCCTAACAAACGTGGGATTTGTTTAATAAGAGCTTCACTGGCTAAGAATGCATCATATCGTTTGGCCAATTTCTTCACCAACTTTTTGTTCTTGTTGAGCTTCTTCAAGGCTTCAACATCCATGAACGGCACCTTGTTTACCTACAACACACATACAAAACATATTTAACAAAATTTCAAAACGCACCACATTTCAACTCGACATGCGGGTTGTCGGTCACAATGGCGAACGACAATATCAATAATGTCTTAATGTCTTAAATATAACCGGTTAAATGTAGCAGGCAAAATATAGCGTTTACCTCGGCTTCGTCGCAATGCTGCTGGTCACCAAGAATGCACACCTTCATCTTGGGCCTGGGGATGTGCTTCAGTTTGATGGTGCCGGAGAAACGCTTGTCCTTTTGCGGGTCGTAGTTCTTGAGACCAATTTGCAATTCAACCGTTTGCAAGAAGTTTTTTTTGTTTACTTTGGCCTGAGTCAACACCACGTTGACGGCCTCGTACAGCGTATCCTTCGATACTTTCGACGACATGTTGTGTTTATGTACCTACGTTCACTGTGAGAAAAATTCAATAACAATTACTCAAAACGTGGAGACCAGGAGACAACTTTTTAAAAAAAAATGTCGGAAGTACTTACCCAAGAGACACGAGTGAAAAAATGAACGCGATACACTTCTGAAAAGAATTTTTAGGTTAAAGTGTATCTACTCAATTTAATTCGGCCATCTACCAAGTCACAGCGCTCAGTTTGGTAACCTGGTATATACTATACCAGAACCATGGTTTTAATAATGGGCTACCTCGGTCCTTGTGGAAGTTCACTGCCAAATAGATCAACTGATAAATGATAATGATAGTAATAAGTGATAAGTGATAATAAATTATTAAACAATAAACATTAAACAATTATATGATATTTGAAAATTCGAATTCTATAAAAAAAATACAAATACATTTTAAAATATGAATAAATAAATTTTATATTTAAAAATATAAATACCTATAAATTTTCGAATGAATTCAAGTTCGCCGAAAATCTAAATCCTAAACTAATAGAAGGGAAACGTTCACCCATATTTTATAATCGAATTTCTTGTGCCCTTAACGGTACACAATACATAATATAAACCGTAGAAATAATAATATCAATATTACAATTATGTTCGACGTGGTGTGCACTACTGTGAACGGTGGAATTCCCGTATTTTACCGAAAAATTAGTAAAATGGATTCAGTAAGTGATTTAACATGAAGATCATCTTTCATCATAGTCTGCTGTATTCTGTTATATTTTCTTATGTCGATAATTAGTTGAATTATCGCAAAGCAACAATACAAATTGGCATTTGAATAACAAATTTACATTGCTTAAAGTTCTATTTGGTGACTAAAGATAAAAATAAACATAAAAATAACTTGTTCATCACAGATATAGTTAGGTACTAAAATACGTGACCTAAATCTTTTTCTTTCAGTTGGTACCTAAAATAATTTTAAACTTATAATTAGAGCTAGGTTTTATTTGATTAAATGTTACAATAATTGTTCATCGATTTGTTTGTACTTAAAGTCATCAGTATTTATTTAAATATATTACCTATATTTAAGTTTAAATATTGAGTAGTGTGTTTAAAGTCACTCGGTTTACAATAATATGTTTCAGGTACCATTTACTACATTTTCAACATTGAATGCTGTTATAACATTTGCAGATGTACAAAATGTCCAATTTAAAACTATTCATACAGATAAACATTCTTTTATTTGGCATGCCATTGGTGATAGGTATGTGATTATAATTTATATTATAAGCTTTATTGTTATAAATTCTATAACATTGTATTTAACATTTGTAGATATTTTGTTAAATTACATTTACAAGTATATACACTACAAATTGTGTTTTATATAACTATAGTCTATATTATAAGTATATAACTAATAAGTTTTGTCAGTATTTTTGTTAAACTTTATTAAATTTTTGTAGTCTAATTATGGCAGGCATTGGTGATTTGAACGATTCTACAATAAAAACTGGATTGGAACTGATATCAACTTTAATAAAAATGATTATTGGAGATGAAAACATATATAATAAAAATGCAGATAGAATAAAACGGGAAATAAAAGTATGCTCCAAATCCCCAACTTAAATGTATTAACTCTTATAGGTAACTGATCAGATTGTATTGCTGTATATATTATGTTTAATTATTGTTTAGCCTTGTTTACCTATTATTGATTATATATTGAGGAGCCTAACATCAGTAACAATAGAAGCACATCTAATAAATGTAATTGAAACACAGTCAATGAAGGATAATAAATCAATAAATGTAACTACTAACTTAAAATAATTTTTAAAATTGTGACATACTGCTCATTCTTAAACCCTATTAACTTTTTTCTGCATTTTCAGAACTGTTTATACAATTGGTCGGAAACAATCTGTAGTGATCTTTGTTGGGTTGTTGTGGATAAGAAATTGAGTGCAGCAACAAAGGACTGGTGGGATTTACATATTAGTGACAGAAAATTATTAACAACAATTATTTTAGCTAATTGTTATGACCAAATTACATCAGCTGATATTCCAATTTTCTTGCCTCATTCAAGTACTAAGGTAAATTAATTTACTTGTTAGTTGTTATGGAAATTGTAAAGCCTGTATTAATATGCAAAGCCCTTATTTAATCCTTAAAAAAATTATATTTTCTAATAATCTCTTAATAATAACAACTTTAATAATACACTGTATAATAATTCATTGGATTAATTTCTTGTATTAACAAAATTTGTTAGATAAATAGTAGTATTAACATTAAGTTCTTCTATGTGCATGCAATGTAATTAGTCTTTAATCCAATAAATTCTGTTTCTAGGTTCTTTTAAGACTAGTATGTTGCATGATTGTACAGGGTGTTTGGACAGCAGCTATTTGTGGACCTACACCAAATCTAGATGATATTGAAATTAGTGCTGCCAAAAGTTTTAGAACAGTTATCAATTACTTTCGACCTAATTATGCTAAATTTGAATTAACTTCTGGGTAAATTATTAATTATAAAATATTTATATTTTGATTAAAAGTATCTTAAGATCATTTTAAAACATATATAAATTGAGTTGATACTTATTTTTTTATATTTTAGATATATCATAGTGAACACAAATTTGTTCAAATTTATGCAAAATTATTATTCAAATACTGATGTGCAAAGTGGACTAGTAAAGTTTTACAATAAAATTGCATCACGTCTTATGAACGGTATTAGTTGTAATTATTATATAAAAATATTTTTCAAGTGTATTCCATTTATTATTACTGATAATGATTTCAAATTAATTATCTTTCTTTTCAAAATGTCATGTATAATATGTATTATATTTATCATGTTTAGATGATGTTAATGGAAGTGAAGTCTCATGTATGGGGAAAATTCATAACTATTATGCTATAAAATCAAATGGTATCATATTATGTTTAGCATATCCAAGTAAACATAATATGGTAACAATCAGGTAAATATGGACTATATGGTTTAAATAATTTATCAATAATGATTATACCATTAACAAGTTATTTTAATTTATTTTTATAATTTAATTATAATATAACTTAAATGTTCTGGTTGATAGTTAAATAAATATATAATTAATTAAATATCACTAACAATCATACATAACTATATATGATTATTAATTTATAGTTACATGTGGTTACATGTAATAATATTAATAATTAACTTAACGCCCCGAAGTTAAATAATACAGTGATGACAGAATATTAAAATAATAGACATTATAACTTAAATACCTATAAAAAATCTTTAATATTATTACAATTCTTAATCATTATGTTAATTGACCCAAAGCGGCTGTAATTTTAACGGTGGGGATTAATAAAGAAAAGAATGCTGTTTCTAGAGTTAAAATATGGCACATTAAAAATATATATACATCTTAATAATTTAGAACAATTTATTTTATTATTAATAAGATTATAGATGAAATAAATATCAAAATATTTTCGTTCAATAATAAAAGGTCAATACCTAGTTTAAAATTAAATGAAAAGTTAGTGTAAACTGAGTTTTTTGACTTATCATGTAGTTATATTTGATTTAGGTATATGCAAGTATACAATGTATAAAATTATTAGCCTCATAACAGCATAGCTGCTAATTGCTATGCAGGTTATAATCCAGTTGTATCATCATAATCACAAATTACTGAATATACAATTAAATCATCCACAAATAAAGTATATTTACTGTGACTAAAAAAAGAATCTATATTATCATTAAAAAATAATAAAAACAGTAAGGAAGATAATTGCTTTAATGAGGGAGGTTTATATTTTATAATATATATTTTATTTTATCATGTCATTGGTTTCTCTGTAGTTTCTTTATTTGTTTTTCTCTTACTTATATTTTCTTGATATTAAGTAAAAACTATTAATATCATTTTTTTTTCTGTCATAGATACTATGCGAAGCAAACATTTCAGTTACTTTTATCTGATATCAACTCTTAAATAAGTACGATCATATCATACACTGTGAACTCCAGTACTCCACATACTTCAAAAATTATGTTCCGTCCAAAGTGTAACTATGTGATTTTAAATGAAATATTTATTTTAATATTTACAGTTAATGTGTTTGAATTTTTATATTTTATAACTTAGCCTTAAGATTTTAGACAATAGTATTTTATACTAATTGTATTGTAAATAATTTTGTGTTATATTCTATATTTAACAAAATATATGTGTATTTAGTTTATATTTGTTATTTTCTCGTTGTAGGTGATAGTCAAACTATAAGGGACCCGAATTAGAGATTGTCGTAAGAAATTGACAGCTAACTGTTTTTATATGTATTATAAGTTTAATTTAGTTATTAGTGAGTAACTAACAGTCAATAGTCTTACTGCAATTAGAATATACAATCTTGAATTGTAAAATATTTAAGAGAAGTTCGTACACACATTTGTTGTATCCATCTTACAAATGGATAATATAACAAATTTACATTCAGCAATTCCTATTTTTTTTGTTAACTTTAAATAAAAATAAGAGCATTATCTGTGTTTTCTTGTTGATTTTTACAATATTTTGATTTTTATATATAATATATAATAATTTGATTTTAATCATTAATATTATACATATTAAATACACATGAAGTTCATATTCTAATATTAAATATTCTTTAATATTTATTTAAAAAAATGTATTTAATATATTTAAAAAAACTTTACACGACCTACCAAAAATATATCGGGTATTCGTGTTAGTCTAATTTAGTGATCTACTGATTTACTGATTTGGGGCCATAGCGGGCAAACAAAGTCCAAATGGGGTGAAACATACAGGCCGATAAGTCTCTTGCCCTTCTTATCGAAAATTTTTGAAAGACTTATCCTCAAACGAATGACTCCATATATTGTCAAAAACAATATTCTTCCGAACACTCAGTTTGGATTCAGACCCTCACATAGTAGTATAGTACCATTCATCAAGCGCATAGGATTGTCGATGCAATATCTTTCTCGCTGGAAAAAAAACTTTACTGTACCTCTGTCTTTCTTGATGTACCTCAAGCTTTTGACAGGGTCTGGCATGACGGATTACTGTACAAACTCAAAAGTTTTCATGTACAAATGTTATGTATATTATTAGTACCGCAATACTGTAGTTTTCACAAGCGCCGGGAAAAACAACATAAAAATTAAGGAAAAACGGGAATTTTTACCCAAAATTGGTTTTCCAAAAAATCGATTTTGGTTATTGGTGTAACTCTAAAACAAATGAACGTATATACATGAAATTTTTACTGGTTGTTTATATTTGCATTTTCTATACACGATAACATTTTCAAAATATTTTGATTTATTTTGAACTGTTTAGGGAAATTTTCATTTTCCATTTTTTTTTAGTTTTTTTTCTAAAAATATCAATTAAATTTTATTTGTTGGTTGCAAAAGCTTGAAAATTTAATAGAAGGCTCCTAATATATTGTTTCAAAGGCAGATGAAAAATATTAAAAATCCTTAGTCACAATTTTTTTTTATAAGCATTTAAAGTTCAAAAATTGACAAAATATGGAAAAATCACGAAAATTAGCAAATTATTTTGAGTAAAAATTTTTCTTTTTAAATCTAAGATTTGAAATTGAAACACAAGATTCCTTATAAGATTATCTACCTTCATCAATAAAAAAATCTCTACCGGACAGTCAAATTAAATTTTTATGAGCGTTTGAAATTCAAATTTTTACAACATTGGATATTCACTCGATTAATCATGTAGCGATTTCTTTATTTTGTTGCAATTCAAAAACGAACAACTGTAGATACATGAAAATTTCACTGAATGTTTAAATTAGCATTTTCTATACACCATACAATTTTGAAAATATTTTGACTCTTTTTGAACTGTTTATGGACATTTACAGCTTTCAATTTTTTTTAGTTTTTTTTCTATAAATATCAATAAAGTTTTATCTGTTTGGCCAAAAAGTGTAAAAATTTAATACAAGGCTCCTGATATATTGTTACAATAGCAGTTGAAAAATATTAAAAATACATAGGCACAGTTTTTTTTTATAAGCATTTAAAGATCAAATTTTGACAAAATTTATCAAAATCTCGAAAATTATCAATCATTGTAATTAATAAATTATAAAATGTTCAGTTTTTATAGCTAAGGATTACAAATTCAACACAAAGGTTCTCATAAATAGTTCATACTATATCCAAAAAATCTTAAAAAATATATGAACACACTTATTTTTTACAGACATTTTAAATTCAAATTTGGACAAAATTACATATTAAAAAACCTAGAATAACTATTTTAGTTATTTTGTTGTGATTGAATAATATTATTCGTGGGTACTTGAAACTTCTAAAGTGTACTATTATATATCTATGATAGTATCACGGTTTTTGTTGATGTACCTATAACGCGTTATAAGTACCTAATGGATATTATGATATGATTAATTTAGAATTTATTATAGGTCAAATTTTTGTTTAGTACCTACCATAGATTTGTATATAATATGTCCTATACCTAGACTGACATACCGTCTCCGCTCAGAATCGTTTTTCTTATACAATGATATTATATCATTGAATTCAAATTTAATACCATCCATTATACAGTGACCCACTTGTAACCTACTGTACAGCAGAGCGACACCCACTTGCCCACCTTTTTTAAAATTGTATTTAGTTAATTAAATATTTAAGTTGGAAATTCTGTATTTTTTTTTTGATTTTTTTACAATTTTTATTGCAATTTAAATTACAAAAATTAAAAATGTGGCTCGATCGTTCCCTTGTATATATTACGGACAATCAGAATATCTTTTCAGAATAAAAATCGTGATAATTGTCGACACGTATCGTTGGAATTAGAAACAGCAGTTTTTGATAAAAAAAAGACTTGGTAGTGTGGCCCCGTGGTAGCGCCGTAGTGGTATACGCACATAAATACATAATAGGCGCACATTGGGTATGAATTTAATACAAAATACTATAACGTACCACACAATATAGTATTAACTGTAATTTCAATTAATTTTATGTGTGTAGGTAGTTATTATAGAGTTACCTTATATAACATCGTGTGGATCGTGGATGTATTTAGTTTTAATAATTTATTATTATTTTTTATTTATTAATTTAGTTTTCCAACAACCCAAACTGTTGTCCATTGATTGGGTTTCTCCGAAGCCAACCGGAAAGTAGCAGTAACATACTAACATTTATATATATACCGTGTGTTCACCAATTTAGGGAACACTGAATTTCTCGGCTGGATTATGTTGGAATAAATCGAATATTTTTTTACAAGCTTGTGGTATATAAATACACATTTTCAGATAAATTTCAAATTTTTAAACCCTTCGGTACGCGCATGCGCAATGCAACTTACTTTTTTTTTAATAGCAACAGGTAATAATATTATTAATTTAAATTTAATTTTGAGGAATTAATTAACCTCAATTAGACGTAAATGTTAGTTCAATCAATAATAAATAAAATTTCATAATAATTCATAAAATTCTAGTATGATTGGTGAAAAATTCAATAATTTTAATCGAAACTTTGACTGGTTTCCATTTATTCAATTTTGATTTTAGAGCTATGGTAAAAAGGACCAAATCGACTTAAATAAATTCGGTCTATCCGAATTTGGTATTCAAAACACCTGTTGCCATTTAAAAAATGCAAGTTGTATTGCGCATGCATACACGGAAAGATCTAAAAATGTAAAAATCATTAAGAAATGTGTATTTATGTATTCCCTATCCCCTCCTGAAAACCGCATATTAATCCGATGTCACTGGACAGAATTATTTAGTGTTACCTTTAAAAGAAAACACTTAACACACTGTATATTATTTTACATATTTATTATTTTCACACATATTATTAAATAAATTATAGGAAAAGACGACCACCAAATATTATACATATTGCGGTCTATGCAGCCTATTTAGCACCGCAACAAAGCATTCGCCGGACGAACTTTTTCGTCCGGCTCCACAGAGAGCGGCGTTTGGGCATTGCCACTGTTACCTTAGGGTTTGGAACTGCAATAACTGCATCACTACAGCCACCGGGGGTTACCACCATATTATCCTGTATTCTATTATCCTGCTGGACCAACGGTTTCGTTAAACTGTTTTTAGATTCATCACCGTGACACTGTGATTCTGCCATGTCATTCTGAGGACCTGATTGCAGCAGGTCGGCGTCTACCGGCTGAACATGTGGCAAAGACGTTTGACGGCGGCGCTTCGATCTCGATAACTTTTTTAGTGACAGGGGTGGTCGATATTGACAACTTGGTATACGGCGTTGAAACTTGCAATCAAACCATTGATGAGATGGAAGGTATCTCATCGACATCGGACACATATTTTGCAGAGTTACATCGCACAGCTTAATTAAGCATCGATATACATCCCGGCATAATTTTGGTCGCAGACGGGCACCAGATTTCGGGTGAATCACCTGAGGCGTTCTTCTGCACAGCCAGAATAGACGTTGCCTGTGTGCCTGTGTACTCTTGTCATCTTTAGATTCCAAAGTTTGTGCTAGATTTGCCAGGAGCATGTCGAAAACCACGAAATATTTATCAGTCACGGAATGGATCTTCAGTGCTGCAATATTTGACGTCATATTGATCTGATACGCGGGTTAAGTTGATCTATTATACGAAAAGAACGTTGGGACTTTTATAATGAATTATAAATGATCCTTAGAGTTCGTTTTAATAAATAGGTACTTATAACTGACAACTGTGACGGACAGAAACAAATTACTTATGTTTCAAACACTTATTTACACCCATGGTAACCAATATATAAATGATATATAAAAATGGAGAGTGAAAATGTATAACTATAGTCTATAGTTATACCTCATCAACGATACCTAACCTAACAGAGAACGGCTGGTCCGATTTGGCTCAATTTTTTTTAAAAAGTTCGTAATTGCCAGGAGAAGGTTTTTACG